GGAATTTTCTCAATTTTTTAACCTCTTATTTTTAATACAAGAGCTAGTTTACTAATTTGAGTAAATTAAAAAATTAGTTAAGTTGATTATTTATAATAAATAGGTAATGTCTTTCCTAAAATATCTTTACTAATCAAGTATATTGGCTAAAATTAACATTTAACAAAATATTTAACATGTACAACTACTACAAGGACTACCTTAAAAAAATAAATAAATATGAGAGACAAAATAAATTAAACTCTTATATTTATGAGTAAATTAAAAATTAAATTAGCTCTTATATTAAAGATCAGAGGTAGTATAATTCTATTAAATTTGCTCATATGTAATAAAATGCTACAAATGGGTTTTACCCAAAAAAACCAAATGCTACAAATGGGGTGTGTGTGATATGTGTTATATATGGAGTGGATAAACAAAGTTATGCTATCCCGAGTTTTAAATATGAGATCTAATTTGCACTGCAAATTGAATTATAAACTATATTTTATATTTAAGACCGAAAATAATAGAATTTGAAGCTAGCATATATAAAAGTGTACTCAAAAGTTTTGCTGAATTATTAATGGGATTGGGAATTAATGAGTTATGGTTCTTCAACGTGCATGATGCTTTCCTTGTACGTTTCAAAATCCAGCTTCTACGACGAGACTATGTGTTGTCTTCTCATGCCAATTCTTCCATTTTAATTTAGCTCCTTATTCATATTTTATATATATATATATATATAAATATATATGTATATCATTTCAGTTTCCCTTTTTAGCTCTACAAACAATAATCTTATCTAAATGCTTTGTATCTTTTCGCAAAAGCATACTCTTACTCACTTATTAATTTCTTATTTATTAAAAAATTACAAAACCCAATAATATATGATTGGTGACCCCAAAACAATGTTACTACCTCAAGTCTTAATTATAAGACGTTGTTTGTAGACTACAAATAACATCTTATAATTAGGACTGGAGGTAGTATTATATAAATTCAAATCCCATAAATAAATAGATAATTGTACAAATTTGTACCACTCCAGAATCTATATATAAAATATAAACAATTGAACTACGTAATTAAAAAAGTTAGTTAAAATTTATTAGATAGACTGGATATATTAAGAAACGGAGGTAGTATGATTTTATGTACGTTATTTTATATTGCATCACTAGTAACCTTTTACAAGCACCACGATCCTTAGATTATTAGACCAACTGTAATTAAAAAAAAGTATTTATTAAGAAAATTGAAATTAAAGTAAAATTCAGGTGACATTTCATATCTAAATATTTATGTATTTTTTAATATTTTACATGACTCTCTTTGAATATAGGGAAAATTGCAAAAAAAGACCTTGGAATTAGAAAAATGCAGATAGGGACCCTTGACAACTTCACTTTGGGTTTTGACAACTTCAGGGCATATTATTCTTGTCAAAACCCAAAGTGAAGTTGTCAAGGGTCCCTATCTGTATTTTTACAATTCGAAAGTCTTTTTTTGCAATTTCCCCTTGAATATATATATATATATATATAAAAGTCTGTTTGACAAGTTTTTATATGAAATGGACAAGTTTTAGTGAATCAAAAAAAAATTTATGAAAAAAAATTAAGTGAGTTAGGTTCTAATAACTTATCAAAACTAAAGCACGTTTTTAAATTCAAAAAATACTTGTAAAAATATTTATAAATTATTTACTAACAAAATCTTCATATTTACAGTAGAATTAGAAACTTTGATCATGCTCTGCTGCCTACGGATGGATACCCCCGAGGTGGAGTATAATAATAACAATAATACGGGGAATGACCGAAATGAACGGGAACCAGACACATGTACCATGTAAATAAATATAAATTGCCGTACTAATTAAAAGGACTAATGTGTCCCCAAAACATATTGTAGAAATAAATTAACACCGACGGCGAGGGAAAAAACTGTCAGTTGAAAATTCCTTTCAAGAACATGACACATTTTTCGGGAATAGAAAATTTTCTATTAATTAATCCTAGACACAAAGTTTACAAGAAATAAATAACATATTCACACCTTTAAGGTAGTTCAAACAAGGATTATATTCTTCGGTTAAAAACAAAAAACAAAGATTATATTCATTATGTGAAGTTATTCAATTAAATATGACCATGTATCTTATTTTTAAAAGATTATCATTTAATTATAAGCTCACATAAATAAAATAGGACACATGACCTTATATAATTGGAAAACTTAACATAATAAATACTACCTCCGATCCTTAATATAAGATCATGTTTGACTTTTATTTTGGTCCTAAATATAAGACTCCAATCCACTTTGTTTCTCATATTTATATTTTTTTTCCAAAGTAATCCTTCTTACAATGATAGTTCTAGTCAATACATTTGATTAGTAAGGATATTTTAGGAAAGATAACACCTATTTAGGACAAATAACTAACTCAACTTACTTCCTTAATCTCCTCAAATTAGTCAACTGGCTCTTATAATTAGGATTAGAGGTAGTATAAAAATTTGACTTAATTATTTTTCTTTAAATAATACCATATATCAAATAGTTATAGGCAAAATATTTTTTTTAATATTGTCATATGGAAATAATAATCACATAAAACATATTAACTCTTTCCTGTATGTAGTATTGCAATTTGTTGGCAAAAAATGTGGTGTATTATTTTGTATTTAACATAAAATATTAAATGTTTCAAGAAATAATTAAATTCTTGTATTTGTTCAAAAAATAAAAAAAAATTATAAGGAAAAATTTCAGAAAAAGAACTCTGAAATTAGTATTTTTTAATTGAGGCACCTAACACTTCAAAATAACAAAGAAGGAAGTAAACCCAAATTAAAATTTTGAAATCCAAGAAAAATGACAAAAATGCCTCTTTGTTAATTCCATTGCAAAAACTTGTTGCTAATCTTAAATCAAGACTTGTAATTTTACAATAAGAACTTGTTATTCCCAGATAAATTGTTATTTTTTTAAACTAATTCACATGTTATGTATCAGAAAAAATATGGCATTAATCATAAATTAAGACGTTATTTCAGGACTTGTTATTCACAAAGGACCTTTTTGTCATTTTTCTTAGATTTCAAAATTTTAATTTGGGTTTACTTCCTTCTCTATCATTTTAAAGTGTTAAGTGCCTAAATTAAAAAAAAAACCAATTTCAAAATTCTTTTTCTAGAATTTTTTCGTCTGTAATTTTGGGTTGAAGACTATTTTATCCATGACCAGGGTAGGGTTTCTAGATTTTTTTTAATCTGTTTTTTTTAACTAGTACAGAACAAAATGAGGAGAAAGAAAACAAAAGCAAACAACACAAAGTTAAAGAAAAAGTTAGACAACTAAAAAAGATTACCCGATACCATCACATGCCCTCACAGTTTCAGTGGAGAGATCAGTAGGAGCTATCGAGGTGCAGTTTCTCGACTTGGTCTTGTCACTAGTAATGAGAGTATCCAGAAGAGGTGATGGTGTTTCAACTCACCCCAGAGGACATACCTTCCTACGAATCGAGATTGCTAGAAAATTAGTAGCAACATTCCCCTCTCGTAAGGAGAATGAAAAACAAATACCAGATTGAGAAGCTATTATTTCCAAAATATCCTTAAACAGATGCTAACTTGCCCACATACATCTAGAGTAAGAAGAACAAGTAAAGCAATCAATTAAATCTATATTATCATACTCAATGATGACCTATTGGAGATTTAATTCCTCACTTAGCATGATAGTTTTTTGGACTGTCAACAACTAATAATAAAAGTAGAATGCGCGCTTACAATCTCATCAAAAGACTAAACAAATTCTCCCTTATGATCACGATTGATGAGGCCAATCGCATCTGACCCATCCTTAACCTTGAAAGTCCCATCACAATTAATTTTGAAGCATCCATTATGGGAAGTAGTGCACCCTATCCATCAGAAATGGTCTTTATCATCCTTAGGGTTAGTAAGGTTTAAGGCAGACCAAAACTCCATGGCTTCTTTGCAAACTTTCAATAAAACTCCACGATAATCTGGAAATTTGGCGTTGAAGACTCTATCATTCCATTTTTCCCACATTCCCCACAATAACCACAAAATAAAAGCAATGTCAAACTCTTAAAAATCTTTCTGTTGACAGAAAATATTGAAAATTCAAAAATCAAAAGATATAAAATAAGATCTTAAATGTTAGAAAACGAGTAATATTTCAATAGTTACAAAACTAACACTAATGGTTAAAAATTAGCATGTATCATTAACAGTTCTATCTCATAAGAGCGACAAGGTTCCCTTTTTAACACTTCTGAGTGAGGCGATATTAAGTGAGAAACTCTACGTATCTATTCCCTTAACCTTATACTCCCTCTGTTCCTTATTATAACAGACAAATAAACGAAGTACGTTGATAAAAAAACAGTTAAAATTAGTTAAAAACAATTAATGTATAAAAAGTATAATTTTTTTTCAAAAATACCCTTATTAATAAGGAGAGAGAGCATGAGAAAGAACAATTAAATTATTAAAAAAAAGAGAAGTGAGAGGGAGAGAGAGTGTGAGTTGGAGATAATAAATATGGGTAAAATAGGAAATCAATACAAAAAAGTAGAGACAACTTTTAAGTGTCTCTTATATATAAGAACATGCTATAAGCATCAAATGTTTCTTATAATAATGAACGGTGGGATAAATTTTAAACGGGAGAAATATGCCAATAAGTGACAAACATGTGATTGCCACGTAGCGCGGAGAGAGACAGAGAGCGCGAAGAGCAAGAGAAGGAAAACAAGCATCAGTTAATGACGGTTAGGGGCCGGCTGGGAAGTTAGTTAATTAACCTAACCATGGTTACTGTCTCGGGTTAGGCCCCAAGTACACGTTAACATTTCACATCTCCCTCTTCCTCTCCTCCCCTGCCTTCTCTTCTCTTGTGCTATATAACCAATCCCTCCCTCCCCTTTCTCTCTCGCTCTTTCCTTCCCTTCCCTGCTTCATCCTTCATCTTTTTCTCAAAAACAGAGGAAAATACACAGAGAGAGAGAGAGAGAGAGCAGAAGCAATAATGGTGGAGGTTTCTCTGAATATGCCATTCATCCTTTTCGTTCTGACTGTGGCGCTGCTTTTATCTAGCGCCAAGCCATTGAATGGAAATGATAATGCTAAAGGCCGTCTTGTACAGTCAAGGTAACAATCAACCAGCAACGAGAAATCACAGCTTTCTTCTGTGTTTCATGAGCTTCAGAGAACTTTGATTCATTTCGAATCTTAAGACACTTTAGCGCTTTGTTTGTTGACGCATTACAATGTGATCGGTCGATGAGTTTGTGACTTGTTTGTTCTTGCCTGGAACAGGAATGTAGAAACAGAGGAGTTGCAGAGTTTGAAGAATTCATCAATGGCGGACAGGTTAGTGCAATTAATCACCGTGTCGTTGGACTTTTAAGCTTCCCGTTTGAATTCTCAATGACGGCAATGACCGTTCACGTGGAATTGGATGCCAATTGCCAAATAACCGTTTTGTTGAGATATACTATATTCGAGATATGAATCCGTAGTGTATCTCAGAAAAGGAACAATCTGAGCCCTTCAGATCGGATCTCACCTGTTAATCAGTTCATTTCAGTCTTGATGCTTTTCTACTCGCTGGGTCGCAGCTCATGACAATGGCTTTACTCTTTGGTCTTTACCACCTGCAAATTTGTTAACCAGTCAATAGAGCACAGAGCGGTGTCGTTGCTACATCTGTTTCTTGATACAATATTCTTGTAATTTTTCAGGCTAGATGATGCTCTAAATGAACACGCAGTGGACGACCCGGAGGAGATAGCTTCCATGGTTGATATGTAATCTCTCTCTACTGAAATCTTCTCTCTCTCTCTCTCTCTATCTGTGAAGACTGGGCTTTTTCACTTAAATTACTTTAAACACCCATGAAATTATTACTAACTCTCTCGTTATTATTTTTATAATTACACAAATTCCTTTTCTTTTTTTATCTTTTTTTTATTCGTTCCCTTGTGCTATTACTAGGGTCATGTGCTTGGTAGATTAGTTTATACGTGTTTTGGGCTCAGAAAACATGCCGTTTTCGTCCTTATTCGTCAATATTGCCTTTAAGAAACCAGCGTCCAACATGTCAAGTGTTTAAATCAAAGCCAGAAAAATTCTGTTTTCTTTTTCATCCAATTCCTTTGATAAGAAGCCACATGCTTGGCTGGACTGATAAAAAAAATTACCATCGACCGTTTAAAGCAGAATCATTAAACGATGAAGATTAATTACCTAGGAAGAACACCAGTTCCCCACTCACACAGGTAAAATTATTAGAGTTTATAATCCGGGACCCACTTAATGAAACTCCACATATATTAAATATACGAAAGTAAATGCAATATGGGATCCCTTGGGCCTCTGTTTCTTGCTCATTTAATATGGAAATATAAATATGTTTTTTTAATGAAAATATAAATATGGCTTTAATTAATTAATAAATTAAACGTTCACATTGTGAAGTTGCCCTTCAAAGCTCCAAGGAAGCACCATGTTGTTTGCAGAACGAGATCTATTGAAAGTTAGAACCTTTATATTTTATATGCCAGCTTTAACCACATGCTTATGTCCCGAGATCCGACCCTGTCGCTCATAATATTAATTTCTTGTCTTTTTCTTCCCCTTATCTCAATATCATCTCCAAGTACAGATGCCTTTTTCAATACCAAAAGCGCTGTTCGAGTGACTTTAAGTCAACCTATCTTGCCTACTTATATATCAGTTCATTTTTTTATGTTCTTAGAATTATCAATCGCTCAATCACACTATTATTGATATTTTATCTCTTAGTTCAATAAATTACTTAATTTTTAAACATAGTTACATTTGACTTGAAATCTTTTGCTGTCAATTGATGGCCTTTAAAAAAAAAAAAAAAAGAAATCGTTTGTTGTCATTAAATACCAGCTTTAGGCTTCTGCTTTTATTTCTTGGCCCGAATATCCTATTCATATGTGCAATCTCAGTATTCCAGATTCGTTGATCCAGCAGACACTCTCACTCCTTACATTTCTAGTGCCATTAATTGCTTCACTAATTATATTTTCATTGATAGACGGTCGGTGAAATCACTGTATTTTTTCTTACCAACTTTTTTGTGTAAATTTGGCTCTGATTCTATGGTTGCTGTGATTTTCTGCAATTCTGTTGGTATTTGGCCGATTCACCGAGAATTCAATGGCCTAATGTTGGGTTCTCTAAGATACTCATGCAAATGCAACACCCTTATATCTAACTCGATCATCCATTCCACATCATTTTCCCAACACTGGCTGAATCAGTAAAAAAGAAAAACTCAAAAAGATCTCTTGTTTGTTAATTGACTGCCTTCATGATTTCTCCACCCAAATGACCAAATACAATGGCCAGTTCAGACTGTAAGGAATTTATGAAGTTCGCGCATCTTCCAACAAGGTGGGGTAACCCAAAGGAATGGGCTTTCCCTCTCCAGCCTGTCCCTATAAGCCTACACTCCAAACTGCAGAAGAGATCTGGTTTCTCCATCATTCTTTCCACAGAGTGACACACAGTTGTATGTATTTTAGCTTATAGCTGATCCAGCATCTTCTATCTCAGAGAACCTTATCAAATGACTCAAGTTAATTATTTGGCCATCACCACCGACACCCTCAAGTAGTAAGCAGAAATTAGTTGTTCCTCCTCCACCTTTGGCATTTATTTATTGCCAGAGAAATTTCAGGTCAGATATTCAACCCCCCAGTTTCCGTATCGACCGTATCATTCTATCCGTATGCATTATTGCAGACCCACATGACCCCCTGGACTTTCCTTTTGGTGGGGCATTGTAATTAAATAGTGTCACATGCTTCCCTTCTGACTTCCCGTGAATTATTCATTTATTTTTTCTCGGATCGTTCTGACATATCTTCAAACATATTAGTAGATCAATGCAAATACTTTAAATAACAAATAAGATATTATAATTCTAGCATTAATTTCACTTATGTCGGTGACTTTGAATTTAACAGGAGCATACGCAATCATACTGAGAGAAGGAATCTGGGTTTCTTCTCATGTGTGACCGGAAATCCAATTGATGACTGCTGGCGCTGTGACAAACTTTGGCACAGACGGCGAAAGCGTTTGGCCAATTGTGGAATTGGTTTTGGACGTAATGCCATTGGTGGCCGTGATGGAAGGTTCTACATTGTGACTGATCCAAGGGATGATGACCCTGTCAACCCAAGGCCAGGCACCCTGCGCTACGCTGTTATTCAAGACAGACCCTTGTGGATTGTGTTCAAGAGGGACATGGTCATCACTTTAAAGCAAGAGCTTATCATGAACAGTTTCAAGACCATAGATGGTCGTGGAGTGAATGTGCACATTGCCTATGGGGCGTGCATTACTATACAATTCGTCACTAATATCATCATCCATGGTTTACATATCCATGACTGCAAACGCACTGGTAATGCACTGGTTCGTAGCTCACCAACTCATTATGGTTGGAGAAGTATGGCTGATGGAGATGGGATTTCCATCTTTGCTTCAAGCCACATTTGGATTGACCATAACTCACTGTCTAAGTGCGCTGATGGCCTTATTGATGCAATTATGGGCTCCACTGCTATTACCATTTCCAACAATTACTTCACCCACCACAATGAGGTGATTGATTTTCCTCTAATCCTCTTATTTCTAGGATTAAGAGCCCGTTTGAAACAGCTTATAAAGATTAAAGAGCTTATATGTAGTTTTTTAATAATGATTTATAGAATACGAGGCAAGTATGTGAGAAGATTTTTGTCTCGATTTTGCATGAAACATGCTTACAGAGGATTTCTTAAGTCCTCCCAAATAGGCCCTAAGATTATATATACTTATAGCTTTTCAATTATGCAGGTTATGCTACTGGGCCACAGTGATTCATATGTAAGGGATAAGCAGATGCAAGTAACCATTGCCTACAATCATTTTGGGGAAGGTCTTATCCAGAGAATGCCGAGGTAACATTCCTTTTAAGAAAACTCGATTAGTAGCAGTCTTCTGGAGCTTGTAGGCAGATGATATGTAAGATGGACCACAAGCCTTGTTACTAGAGGATTACCAATAAACTTTAATGACTGTTTTAGTATCTAGGCCTATTCTTTCCCCAGGGTCTCCACTCTGTTCGGTGATCAGTCATATGGTAATGTGGATAACTGTAATATTAATAGCAATGGTGTTGTCTTTTAGTTTTCCAAATGCCTATTCCCTAATACAAGTACATTTTAATATTAAGCTACTGTTGCGACAAGAGATGACAGAATTGATGTGAAAATAATCTAATTGCTTTGCTAAAACTTATACCAATAATGGAGGCGAACTTTTCCGGTTATACAGGTGCAGACACGGGTATTTCCATGTGGTAAACAATGACTATACCCACTGGGAAATGTATGCAATTGGTGGAAGTGCTGATCCCACGATTAACAGCCAGGGCAACCGATACCTCGCCCCTCGAAACCGTTTTGCGAAGCAGGTAAAATCTTGAACCGTGAATTTTACTGGCAGAGACATGGCAGTTTATATATAGACTATAGAGGAGTAATATATGATACTTGGTATGTGGCCAGGTGACGAAGAGAGTAGGCACAGACGCTAGGATATGGAAGCACTGGAATTGGAGGTCAATGGGAGACCTTATGTTAAATGGAGCCTATTTCACTTCATCAGGAGCGGGTGCTTCTGCAAGCTATGCCAGAGCCTCCAGTTTAGGGGCCAAGTCATCTTCTATGGTTGGTGTTATTACTTCTGGAGCTGGTGTTCTTACCTGCCGCAGGGGCTTCACCTGTTAAAACCACAAAACTCCATCAAAAGAAGGATCAATGAAATGGAGAAAGGAAGAAAATAAGTAGTTTTCATTCTTTCTCCTACGTGAAAATTGCATTATTATAGATATGTAGAGTGAGAGGCCGTACTTGAGGTCACATCCCCTGTTTGTCCTTCCCATTAAGGTGTTGGGAGAAACCGTGTAAATGTAAATTTTACATGTCCCAGTTGTTGTCAAATTGATAACAATGCTTTTATTGAAGAAGCCATTAGTTTCCCCAACTTTCTGGATATTCTTTCTGCTTCTTCATTTCCAAGGGAAGCAGATTCTACAGAACTCGTCTCTTTGATTATTATTGTATGACCTTCTTTGGGGAAAAAAAAAACTCTTGGTTTGTTTCAAATGAAATGAACCAAGGGAGTAGAGGAGAGACGTACTACTATAATGGTTAGCTGTGTATTTTCTTCAAATCCAAGTTTAATTTTCCTGCCCCCCGCCTTGTAATTTTAAGTTATTTTTTATTTTAGAATACATTTGATATTTATATTAGCTCTATAGATAGTTTTAAATAAATGTTTAATTACATCCTGAAAGTATTTTGAACATTTAATTACATCCTTTTAGCTTTTAACATGGCTAGTCAACATTGAATATGATTGATTACATGCATGCATTATTTTGTAGAGGTGTCACAAGAATTATTATATATAGACATTTTTAATTAGTCCAGAGTATGAAGAATAAATTGTCTTATTTGTAATTTTTGAATAATACATATTGATATTGATTAAATTGAAAAATGTCACTATTAAACAAAAAAAAAAAAAGCCATAATGACCGACTATATCAATATCAATATATATAATAAAATTTATACCAAATTGCATTATCTATAAATTAAAATGCAACTTGTCTTAAGTATCCTACAAGACACAAGACCAGTCTAGCTTGATTCCTTACCTCCTTATGCCAAGTTAAAATGACTCAGATTATGGTACGGAGATCAGGACGCACATGAGCACCTCTTTAACATGTGATCATTCAGGTAGATACATCAAGTCCTTTCGTACTTTCATTTTAAGATATTATATTCTTGTAAGACTAGAAATAAGTAATACAGTAATTCGAAGTTTGATAAATAACTAACTACTCTAAGATTTAAAAATTCAACCCAACAATATATGATAATAGCATTCACTGTTTACAGAGTACTAAAATGAGTTTGTCAATATGATTATGCTCATCACGACACTCACTAATGAGATTAGATCATCTATTTCTATAAATACATTCTCCAAATGTTCAGTTAAAGAAAAATCATAGACTAAAATTGCTTTAAAATAAGATGCATACGAGTTTAAATGCTTTCCAATTCCTTCCAACCATTTCTCATCCATTTCAGGGAGAGATAGACATGAAATTTATGGACACTATCACTCAAAAGAGTCACATATCTACTATTTAAACAGATCACAAATACTCTGACTGTCTATCTCTTTCCAAAATCTAGTGAAAAAATGAAGAGAAAGAAGAAGAAAAAATCCAAATCCGAAACAGTCACAGCACAGAATAAACGGACGTAACCTAATTGGCATACTGGAATGTAAAATTCACATTCAAAAAGGGGTGCCGCTGCCACTTCTTGTTTCTGTAGGGCTATATAAAGCAGACCTATTTCTAGGCCTATTCTCCTCCAACTGTCTCACAACCTCCTCCATGCTTGGTCTCACTGAAGCCACTGGGGCACAACATCCCATTGCTACCTTCAGTGCTTGCACCAACCCATCTTCCATTGGACTCCTTATCCCTTTCAGAAGCTCCACATCAAACACTTCCATTGTGGTCTCCTCCAACACTGCCACTTTCACCATGGAAGGCAGATCCACAACCTCCCCACTCCTCCCGTTCTTACCTGGTTTCTTCCCTATCAATATCTCCAACAGTAATATCCCAAATGCATAAACATCGGTCCTCGAGTTACATTTCTTCATCCTTTGAAGCTCTGGAGCCTTGCAGCCATCTGTTTTCGCAAGTGCCACCATTTCATCAGCTACAGCAGGAATCATTAGCTTGTCCAGCCCAAACTCAGTGAGCCGGGCAACGAAGAACTCATCAACTAGCACATTCTTGGATCGTACATTTCCATGAGTGATTGGAACATCAAGTCCTGTATGAAGATATGCTAGTCCCCTGGCTATTCCCAATGCAATCTTGTGTCGCCTGGCCCAGTTTAGCACTGGCTTTCCAGCTTTAGTTTCTGTTGTAGGATGGCAAAATTATAGCACTATGGTCAATGCCAAGATATTTAACTTCAACCATTTGCAATTTATAGTCCTTCTTTTTTAAAAAGAAAAAAGAAAATTCTAAGAAAATGAAACACAATACATCAAGCTGTTCAGTGAACACAAAAAAAGTGACTCTACTAATAGATAGGATAATGGTCAACGATGAATCCGGTCCCCCATTTCCAGAAGGATAAAGGCTAACCCTTTTTTGGCTTCTTTCTAATGGAATTATAACTTTTGCTACATAAACTATCAAAAAACTACATTCAGAATGATTGTTTAGCAAAAGTGAGATAAACAGAAATGGTGGTCAAGCAAACATTGTCATTGGAAAATACAATAAAGCAACACCTACACAACCCACGCTATGGGCTTATTGGGATCACACTAACAGGACAACGTTAACAACGTCATGACACTAGACCAGTGTCCCCTCATTGAATAGCCAATCATCTTCCTCTCATGAATAAAATTATAGGAAGTATTTAATCCAACTGAAAGTAGTGCAAGTAATTAACCCACATGGTCTCCGTGGACAGCATTTTTGCCATCTTTGGGCATTTACGTTTCTCCTAAGGCTGAAGAAATAATCTCTCCACATTTCAATTTTAATTTTGAGATGGTCCCAAGTCTTACATGAATGCTTTGAATTGTAGAAATCTTCGATCAAATTAGACACTGGACAACAAAACCAGGGCACTCCAAGCAAAAAATGAAAGTGATTTGCAATAGAAGATACCATGTAAGCATATGCATCTAAGGAAAGTAAAAGTACTCAAGAGAAACTAATAGCATGTAACTTCACATTGAACATACCATGTAAGAGATCATGAAGAGTTCTGAGAGGAAGATAGTCATAAATAAGAAGCTTTTCTCCTCTCTTCCCCTGATAGAAGGCTCTCAAAGGAATCAAATTCTCATGACGAATCCTTCCCAATTGCTTAATAACAGGCAAGCACGAAGCCCTGTCCCTGCAGCTACCTTCTCTCAACAACCTCAAAGCAATGGTTCCTCCATCAGCAAGCTTTGCCTTATAAACAGTCCCATAACATGTCTTCTCCATAACTTGTCCCGTCGCATTCAACACGTCATCTAATGACAAATTCTCACCACCTTGGAACAACATAAGCTTGCCTTCACCAACGCCTATAGCACCATTACTAGCACCATTTTCTTCATCATCATCTTCATCTTCCTCCAATTCATCTTCACTATCTCCCTTACCCTTCCTCCTTCTATTTTGCATATACCCAATAAGCAAAGAAACTAAAACCACAGCTCCAGTCATGAGAGTGATAACTATTCCAGCAACTGCACCAGAGCTCAATCTAGGAGTTCCACTACAAGCTCTCAAAGGTACCCCACACAAGCCAGGGTTATTTCCTTCAAAAACCTCCACACCAAATTTGGATGATTCACCGAAAGTAGGTAAAACCCCACTAAAATTGTTGTGAGAAAGATTCAGTTTCTCTAGCCTATTTAGCCCAGCTAAGCTCTGAGGGATTGAACCCGTAAACATGTTATTTCCCAAGTCAAGCTGCTTCAGCCCACCAAAATGTGTAATGAATTCAGGAAAAACCCCAGAGAAGTTGTTGTTCCCCAAATCAAGAAATTGTATATTCTTGCAAGAAGATTCGGGCAATGCCGGTTCAGGAAGAGACCCGGAAAACATGTTGCCATGGAGTCTAAGAGAAACGAGTTTATCACACAAATTCCAGATCGATGGTGGCAAAGCTCCACTCAACATATTGTCATCCAAAACGACATCGTTGAGTGAGGAACTATACCCAAGCTCAATAGGAACTGTCCCTCTCAACGAATTGATGTTGAGGTAGAGACTCTGAAGCATAGGAAACTCTGCAAGCTCCCTAGGAAGCGAACCAGAGAGATTTGCAGAAGGAAGCTGAAGAGAGAGTAAATGTAAAGAGGGGTCTCTGAAAAGCGAAAGATTAGTCCATTGGGGTAAAGACAAGTCATTGCATGACAGGGGAGAGCCATTTGCGAATATCCATTTGAGTCCCCTCCATTGGCAAAGCGGTATAGAGGAATTCCATGAAGACAAAACGAGGTTATCGGCGTTACCTTGAAGGGTAGCTCTGATTTTACCCAAGAGAAGCTCGACATCCGAAGAAGATGAAGATGAAGAAGGCGGCAAAGAGACTGCAAAGGCACTAGATTTGTCGTTGTAGTGGCTGCAGAATAAGAATGTAAACATGAAAATGTAGAGAGAGAAAAGCTTCGTCACCGCCATGAATGAGGTGAAGAAGCAGAGGGGAAAGGTGGAAGTGGGGAGCGAGTCTCACAAAGGAGGAAAGACGCTCTCTTTTTCGGGAAAGTTGACAGAGTGTTGACTATTAGTAAGCCCGATGTCTAGTATTTCAACGGCTCCGATTCGATTAACACACGTAAGATCGTATGGTTGAGATTCATTCACCGTTAGTGAAAACTTTTGGAATTTTGATATTTTTGATTGCTAGGCTTTTCGTTTTTTAATGTAAGAATAACATATGAAAACACTTTTGCAAGAAAATTTAATTACTCCATTCTATCTTAAATATAAAATCCTAACAATTACTACATTCGGTTTTAATTATAAGACCTTATTTATAGTTCACAAATAAAATCTTATAATTAAGACTGAAGGTAGTACTTCAAAAAATTTTTTTTAAAAAGTACATAACTTGAACATGTACTGGTTTTTATAATATTATTATTTAATTATAAATTCATATAAAAGATAAAACAAATAACTAAATGTGATTAGAGAATTTGATATAATAGATATAAGAAAAATTTCATATAAAAAATATCATTATCATTTAATGATTAAAATTAATATAGAAAATAAATGAGAATGTGACCTTAAATTTGGAACTAAATTAAAACAAAGAAGCATAGAATATCTCCCATCGTATTTGATTTAGGTTGGGCTGAATTAAGTGCAATTAAAAAAAAATTGAACGTGATTATTTTATTTATATAATGTAACTAAGAACTGAGTTTAAGAATGTTCCACCTCTTATCACCCAATTTAACTATATTATAGTCATCTGTTATATGTAATGATTAAGTGGCACGCTTAGGTTGCAAATTGTGTCCATTAAACTAATGTATTATTTTTAAAAATTATTAAATTAAGTAGTCTCAAAAAATTCATAAATGACTTTTTTTAAAATTATTTTGAAGAGTCCAATTATATATTTTAAATACATATAATACTTTTTAATTTTGAAGACAAAAATATCATTTTAATATTAAATTATATTTCATGATTTTTGAATGTAAGTTTGTAAATATACAATAAATATTATAAAAATAAAATCTAGCTGTTTGATAAATCAATTTTGAAAGAAGTATGTACTATGTAGCTGAGTTTTTTTTTAATAAAGCTAAAGTTTTTGACAAACCAAGCACAGGAAAAATTGATCAACTCTTTAAAAGTTTAAACTTCTCTACTTTAACCAAACAACAATAATAAGAATATGTATTCGTACATACTTTTAGTGTAAAAAATTATTATTTTTAAATCAAATTGTTCCCACCATTTAAAAATTCTAACATTAAATCATCATCTCTTGATTACAAAGTAATACCCTCTCCAATATTAAATATAGTGCTTCTTCTTTAACTGAATCTCATGGATAAAAAGTTGGTTGGACATAGTTAACAAGACTCATATTTTCAAAAATCATACCTTTTTTGAACATACTCTTTGACTCATATTTTCAAAAATCATACCTTTTTTGAACATACTCTTACTTTTTATTGGAATAAGTAGAATTATGTGTAGGTTCTATTTTTCATGTTCTTTTACATAACTTGAATATGAGTATAGTTGGGAATGGATCATAGAAGTATTGCATTATATTCTATAAAAGTTTCTATATTTAGGTCCAAGGAAAAACGTGGGAAAAGGTATGAGGAGCAGAGGGAGTAACATAAATGAAAGAAAATAATTAATATAATTGAAATCTCTGGAAATGATTACTACAGTACTACCTACGATCCTTTATATAAAACTTTATTTGATTTTTATTTTGGTTCTAAATATAAGACCCTAATCCACTTTGTCTCTAATGTTTATACATTTTTTTCTAAGGTAATTATTTTAATAATGATATGTCTAACTAATATACTTGACTAGTAAAAATGTTTTAGGAAAGATAAAACTTATTTGTTACAAATAACTAACTTAACTTATTTCCTTAATCTCCTCAAATTAGTTAACTAGTTCTTATAATTAAGACCGGAGGTAGTATTTGAAACTAAAGCATTCTTCTAAAATATGGCTAATGCATTAAAAATAAAGAGTGTGTAATTATTGCAAGTCCAATTCTGGTTTTTAAGTCAGCATCAAAAGAGGGGTTTAGAAACGAAGTTCACCGTCATAGATGAGCAATGACTTTAGTGAATTAATTAATAGCTGTAATTTTTTAAAAATAAAAAAATCAAGTGGGGAAAAAAAGTAAAAGAAGAAGAAGAGAAGATATAACAATAAAATTTTAAAAAAAATGAAGAAATAAGGAAACAAGGAGACATTGTCGTTTGAATATTCAATAATTTTGTTGTGCTGCTTTTTGAAGGTTTGCATTATTATTTTGTGTGTCTGTGCACGCTTCCCTTTCATTTTGGGTTCCTTCTTTTATTACTTTGCGCTCTCTAAGGAACTATGTTTAATTATTTGCTCACAAAATTACATCGCCACACCCCACAAGTTCCACATATTTATATATATTACTACTATGCCTAAAAAAACGAACTTAATTGTCAATGATAACCCTGCATACTTTCAACTGAAAAAATCTATTACCAATAAAAATCTACTCTTTCAGTCATTAATATAAGACCTATCTAACTAATTTAATTAGATTAAGAAAGTTAGGTAAGTTAGTTAAATATAAAAAATATGACATGTTTGTAGTTGATTATGGTTGATGAAGTATTTATAAAGATAATTTAGAAAAAAATTAATAAATATGAAAAATAGGCCTTATATTTAGAACTAAAATCAACTTAATAATTAAATTTTATATTAAGAATCGGAAGAGCATTTGTTTTCATATGAAATAAAAATGCTTTTGTTTTATTTTTATATTTTTTATTTTTATGAAAAGGTTAAGATTAGTGGTGTGGTGCATCAGAGAAAAAAGGGGGCCACATGCTTGGAGGACTGAATACAAAAATAAGAAGCAATGATGGGATGGCTATGTTGAACAAAAAGGAGAGCCTTGGAGAGCTCTATTCACATAGGGCAAGTACCACCTATTCTTCCAGTGGGCCTCTCCCCCACTATTCTTATTGGTATTTATATTTTCAATCACTAAATCAAAGGCTAAGATGTAATGAGTTTGACAATCCTCAAAGAACAGTTGCTCACATGTTATCAAGAGCTAAAGTTTGAATGCTTATTAAACGAGATGCTTATATTTAATGTCTAATATAATATTTGATATTTGATGATTTTTAATAAGAAAATATGTGTACCTAAAAAAAGTATATTAAAATATGTTTTTAGTAACACTTGAACCAGATGTTCTAAAGGATTTTTATGCAATTTTATTCTTAAAGCCATTTTCCTAACAATAATAATATTTCAAACTTAGGATAGTGAGTGCAACTCAAATAATATTTTATGATACTAGATGGATAAAATATTATTCAATAAGATTTTAAAATTTAGAGTGTTACTAAAAATACACTTTAAATGAATTATAAATTAGTTTATGATATTAAATATTAATATTTAAAAGTGTTAAATGTATCTTAGCTCATAAATAAATAATAACCTTAAAGTCTTGTGATCAAATACAACACTTCTCCCCTGAACATTATATCTTGTGATTGCTATGCTGCATAATGATATAAAAGTACATGCATAGACCTGCATACAAATATACATATTAATTATTTTTTCACATCCTTGAGTTGATCAAGATGTTTATGATTATGGAAATTTAAAACTCTATTTTTCCATGCACTTCAAAACTTAAAGAAAAAACAAATAGTCAAAGTTTGCTGCATATACGTATTTTTTTTCAATTTTTAAATAGGTTTTTCACTAGAAAAATAATTACCTAAACAAATGACTAAAATAAATGCTTAAAGGAAATCAATATATACTTTTTTATAAATGATTTACTTACCTGATTTTATTAATTTTTAAACATTAATTATTTAATTTTTATATTTAGGATAGAAAGCGGCGAGTAATGAATCAACATAAGAGGGTCCACGCATCTAAAGTGGAGGCAAGCAGATATGAACACATTGATTGGTTTAGATTTGCATGCAATAATATTGGCCAGAATTTCTTTTTTAAAAAAAAAAAGAAAAGAAAGGAACTGCGTGCAGTAATATCTACTCCTCTTGCCATATTTATAGGGTAAATAGAAATTTTTTTAATCTTATTTATAAGTTATTTTATTAAATTTTTAGTCTAAATGTGTTATTTTGTTCTTTATTTATTATGGTTTAGAAAATTACCTCTTTTGAAAGGTTTATATATTAAATATGAGTAAAGTTTAAAAAATTATTGCATTTTAATCAAGATTTATTCATTTTAAGATTTTTTTTAATCTGTACAAGATGTATTAAAAATATCTTATAAATAAAATTAAAAGAGTAGTAATTGTTTTTTGGCCAGAATCAAAAGAGTAAGAGTAATAATCAACCTTTACTTTAAGGAGGAGGAGGGAAAAAAAAACACAGCACTCATTTTATTTGATTATGACATCCACACATCATTGTTATCCTTTCACTGTTCAATCTCACGCTCCTCTTCGCCATTATTCTCTTTTATTATTCTCCATTTTTTTTTTCATAATCTATTATTAATTAGTGCCCATCCTTGTTTGTTATATTGTTTGGCCGTGTGCTAATTAATTTAGTGCATGATGATTAAATCATGTTTATACAAGTATATAAAACTCGATTTCTTAGCGTTTATGTCATATTTATGTGTCTTTCTATTTGAGAATATACGCTTTGCTCTTATATAAATTATAGGGTAAAGATGGAATTTTAACTATAATATTATTTCTCAGATATAATTTTATTCTTATAAAAAAAAGATTAGGGATAAAATTTTATGCTGAAAAAATCCCGGATAAAATTATAAATAAAAAATAAATAAGATCAGGGTTAAAATTGTCTATTTGTCCTTAATTAATTTCAATATGTCATGTATAAAACAACATAAGTAGAAAAATTTGATCATATATGAGTACAGTTTGGACTATAGAAATTGTATTAAAGCTATTGACATGTTCTAAACAACTCCCTTTAAAGAGGATATGA